TAAGTAAACCATTTCCCAGAGGAAATAATTCTCACAGATAATATACCAAAAAAAAAAAAAAAAAAAAGGGAACCACGTTAACGGAAGTGTCTCAGGAGAGAAACTCACCGTATCTGTACCCACAAATTTCTCTTAATTCGCACTTCGATCGGTTAATCCCGACCGAATTGGCTATTCTTCAGGAACTAGGCGAGAAAGAAGGGTCCTCCCCCACGAAAGGTGATAATTATCGGCTGTGTAACGACCAGGCCATTTTCGTTTCGCGCGAAACAGTACAGAAGAAGCTTATGCTCGAAGCTTCCTTCTAGAAAAACGTAGAATTATCTTCGCTATAGGGATTATAACAACGTGAATAATTCATGCAGCTTTAAGCTCTTCCTTTATAGCAACACCAGTCACACTCGACGCCGCTTATTATGATCGATACGTGATAAAATGGAATTTATTGGAAAATTCATAAATCCAGAATAAATTCAATATTTTAACTCTAATATTATTTTCCATCCGACGATTAACAATGCATACGAAATAAGTATTTAAATTCCAAATTGTTTCGCTGGGCTATCGAATTTTCCTCGACAAAATATGTCGCAGACTTCGTTCTCGATGCATTTATCACTTTAAAAAAGCTATTATAATTTTCATTTTCATGTAAATATTAAGCATCGTTAATTAAAAATCCTCTTCTCATTATCTGCGTTATTTTCTTTTTCAAATAAATATTTTTAAAAAATCAGCTCCGAATTCTCTTCAGAAAAATTCAGAATTGAGACATTTTCAATTCAAATATCGGGAAAAGATTAAAAACGAATTCTGCGCCGATGCAATTTCAGTAATTTCACCGACCGATGCGCTAAAATTAAGAAACGCGCTCGGTTAACTTACAAATTCTAACTCATAATCGATTCATAAGCGTTTTCCCGAGTGAAACTTGCGAATCCTTTAGGAGTTTCGATCCTTCAAGATTCATACCGTTAAATCGAGCGAAACAGGTCTCTAGATGGTCGGACAGAGAACGAGAAGATTCGGTTTTCGAGTCGATCAAGTGGCGTCGAATTAATCGCGATCGATTCGTTCCGCTTGTCGAATCGTAGCTCGAACCAGAACAAAGGAGAGAGAGTTGGCGGATTTTTCACGTGGAATCACGTTTGCTCGGGGGGTGGTTAAGTAGTTGAGAGAGAAAAGCTGCTTACCAGTGGCTGATAAAGTTGCAAACTCGACACCAAGCTGATTTGCGATCCACCGAAGTTTATTGGGTCGGGAGAATTAACTGGCCCACGGTGGAAGCGCGTCGAGGTGAATTTGAGACGTTGGATCCGAACGTCGCGACAGATTTTTCCAAACGACACTGTAATCGAGCTTGTAGATTGAATTGATTCCGGTGTCGAAACGTTTAGAAGAGCACTTGGAGCTGGGAATTTTAACGAAATTTGCTTTTTAGTTAATTATTTAGAGGTGAAGACATATTGATGACACAGTATAGATTATGAATTTTTCTGTTTAGTAGAAGATGTGATAAATTTTGGGAGAAAATTTTAAAAAATTAAAGAATTCGAAAGGGTTAAGTTAAATAAAGTTTCTTGTTATCAATGAAGATAGAATTGTGCAACGTAACTAAAATAGAAAATCTGAAAGAACACGTATGTGGACATAAAAGGAGATTTTGAGAAGATTTTTATCGTGTTCCTTTTAACGAACCAATTAAAATTCTTCTCGTTGGTTATACTGTTCAAGAGGATTTCCGAAGTGAAAACATTTGATGCTTCTGGAAATTAACGAAATCCCCTTCGTTTTGGTGTCCAGTTTAATAAAGGGTGCTTTAGTCGTTTCAAGGAAACTTTTGGCTCTCCGAAAAATGTAACAATTCCAAATTCTTATATTAATTAAATACATTAAAAAATTGAATAATTTCATTCCCAGCATGAAAGATTATCAAAAAATTAAGAAAAATTAGAAATGATCAAAAAGTATCAAAGTATCAATGAGAAACACAAAATATCCAAAAAAAACACAACTGAAAAATTACTATCGACTCCCAAAGCCTCAAAAATAGTGTGAAATTAGTCGGTGCCACATAAATCATTAATTAAACAAAAATATAAATAAAAATATCCAAACAAACACCATTCGAAGATTCCTATTATCTCCCAAAATCTCAAAAATAGTGTAAAATTAGTTGCCACATAAATCGTGAATTAAAAATAACAGCAAAAAGATAGAAAATCATCAAACACCTACTTTGAACCTTTCTACACAACGAGACAACGTTAGAAATCACCCAGACAACTAACAATCGAAAAATCTCTTCTTTCCAGCTGGCGCATCAAAACACATCGTATCCACCCCTTTCCAAAGGATGTCCATCATGTTCCTCGCGATGTTCCTATCTTCGACCATTCGCTTTCACGTCACTTGCGAGCTATTCAAGCCCGCTAACACGGACAGCTACTCGAATCTCTACCCTATCGTCGAGAAATGGGCCAGCTTCAGTCACACGAAAATGCTGACAGTAGTGTTCGACGATTACGAGCTCGAACAAACGTTCCAAGTACCTCGTACAATCCTGAACAACCTAAACATCTCTACGAAACTGGTCAGCCTGAAACACCTGATCTCCTTAAAAGACACGAACAGAAATCGCGACTATCAAACCATAGAATCCGGAAGTTGCGTTCTTCTACTATTCTCAGACATGGATCATCTAAGGGACATCCTAAGCTCGCCTCATCTCGTCTCTTTCTGGCATCCGGAGAACTTCTATCTTCTTCAAGAACAGAAAACACAGATCTCCGAGGCTTTCGATCACGAGAGATTCTGCATATGGGCGTTCGAGAGGTTATGGCGATTCCGACGAGTCTACAAACTCCTACTGTTCACCGGGGACAAAGTGATCAGATACGATCCGTTCGATTACGCCGGTCGTCACGCTAAATACTACGTTAACAGCAGCTGCGACTGGCGTTGCATCAAAACGAACGAGGACAGTTTCTTGATAGTGAACAGATCGAGCAGGATCGATATCGGTGATTTCTTCGAGGAGAGCCAGAGGAGAGACTTCAACTCCTGTCCGCTGAAGATCTCTATCTTTAAAACCTCCACGATGCATCTGGTGAACGGCGAATTCACCGGTTTCGATTACAAATACGTCGAGGAAGTGTGCCGAATGATGAGCGTGACGCCTGTATTAGTCAGATCCAAGGACAAATTTGGTTGGGAGGAGAACGGTGCTTATTACGGAACGCTTGGACATCTAGTCTACGAATTCGCCGATGTTTCTTTCAACCAGTTCTTCGTCAAGGATTATCTCACGCGACAAATGGAGTTCACAACTTCCATTACCAGCGATAAATTATGCGTCCTCGTGCCGAAAGCCTCTCCCGTCCCGGATTACCTCGTGATCATCAAGATCTTCAGGGAGGTCTTCGAGAAGGCGAGAAAAGGTGGGAGAGAACTTTTCTGCTGCGAATTTCTCCCTGATTCGTACTTCCTCGAGGATCGAGAAGTCGGGACAGCAGGGAGAGACCTGGAGAAAGATCGATACGACGATTCGCGCGGGTGAGTGAACGCTGAAACTGCGGAATACACGGTTCCCTCTTCGCCACCACGATACCTTCGGGTAGGTTTTTCATTCGGTGGCGAAAACGGGAAATCGAGAGACTTTTCTATCTCGTTCTCTATCGGCGAGGTTCTATTTTTCGAGGGTTTGTTTGAACGCGATATTTCTGGGGGAAAAGCACGCGAGAGGATCAATACCGGGGGGAAAGTAGATTAAAACGCGTCGTTTAAACATTCGTGCGAAATTAAAGCACAAGAGATGAAACTGGAATTTTCTCGTGCGTTACCTGCGTTCGTGTTTTTCTTCGTTTCGCCGGGGTAACGTAATTCGAACACGACGAGGAGAGAATTAATTAAAAAGCGTCAAATTAAAGGCGGGAAATAGGGAAGAATGATTTTGTATATGTATTAAGTGGATTCGTGTGTTTTTCTTTCGCTCGCTTCATCGTTGCACCCCGTGGCACAATTCAAATACGACGAAAAACGGAAATTGATTGAAACGCATCGATTGGAAAATTCGGAAATTTGATGTTCCGGTGAAAATAAGAACATTTCGCGTGTACGACTAAATTAATATTTTTCTCTGCTTCGGTGTAATATCCGATAGGAAAATACGAGTACAAAGGGGAAAGATTGAATAAAAGGTCGATTAAAAATTGCGAAATTTAAGACAATGGGAGTATAATACGAGAAGAATGGATTGAAAATTTGTGGAATTAAAATATTTGTCACACTTTGCTATACTATCCCGATGCGAGTATTGTACCGCGAAGGATCAAATTCTGTGGGCGATTCAGTTCGTCGAAACGAGAATTCGCGTTAGCAGATTATTAATGAGTTTCGCGGGAATTTTGCCAGGCTATTCAGGCGATGATAGAGGAGTTTCGCGAAAACAGTCGGAACACTAAATAACCAGTGTAAACGCAAACGGTCGGGTAAATTAATTTAGAACGTTAATTTTATCGTTTGAACATAATCCTTCCTTCTTTGTCCCTTTTTTACTTTCTGTTTCTGCAAAACTTCTTATCATCTTCGTGGAAATTCGAGGAAAGGTAAAAACCCACGTTTCACCTCCTGTTTCTCTTTTTTCTTGGAACGTTTATAAACAAATTCGTAAAAATTAGGGGGGAAGTAGCGGAGGATAGAGATAAGTGTTGAACTAGGAAACTGTGAAATTGAAGAATTGCATCTCTGACGTGGTTCTACGTTCTCGTTTCGATGGGAAACAGCGTTCAGACGTACGAGACGATGCGAAACATTCGATTGACGTGGAAAACGGAGATGGAGGAGACACATTCGAGACGATTCAATCAGATCTTCCTGTCCCATCTCGCCTCCGTGGCTAGATACTTGATGAAGGTGGTTCTCCAGTTGATGCAACCTTTCGAGTCAGGTAAACCATGGTTTCCGGAGAGGTTGCTGCTGATGTGCAGTTTGTTTCTCAGCCTGATACTGAATGGAGTGCTCACGTCACAGCTGGCGTCTACTTTCAGCAAACGAATGTATTACAAGGACATTGACACGTTGGAGGAGCTCGAGGAAAGCGGTAATTACGTTAATATACCGAAATTAGGTCGAAAAAAGTGTTTCACAGACTCTTTAAAACAGAAGAATTTTTTTTTTTAATTTGATCAAACGACTTGACTTTCTTTTTTTTTTTTTTAAGTTTATACTAGATAAAGGTAATTTTTTAATTTTCTTTGGAGGCTCAGATAAAAATTTCCGAAAAGATTTCTTCGCGATTTGGAGTAATTACAATTTTTTTTTCAAAATTTAGTTCATACGTCGTCTGGTAAAGTTAATTATTCCAAGTTCTCAGAAAAATTCAAGGCGTTTGGCTCATTTTTAGAAAAGTTATAATGCTCTAAATACCACTTTTAGTGTCTTTTTGTGACCGACTGTAAGTGCATAAGTGAGGTTGCAGGACAAATATGAGAGCGTAACGTAGAATTTTTGTATGTTTTGGGTTTCTAAGGTCTGGCAATTTTAACTAATTCGAGAGACGTGATAGACGATGCGTTAACAGACTCCACGTCGCCGGTGATAAATAGACTTCACGTGAGATTGGAATACGCGAACGTTACGGAGATACATAGAAGATTATTCGAGACGAAGGATGCTGGTTATCTTCACAGATTGTCGACTGTGACTTTAAAGTACGACGAGCACCAGTTGGAGAAGCTTCATATTGTTAAAGAGTGTCCTAAGGATTATATTCTCGCCAACGTGATGACGAAAGGTTTGTAGAAGGAATTGCCAAGCTTTCGTACTATAAATATCATAAAAAATTTCTAATTTCTCTCTAATTTCTAATTTGAAAATTTAAAATTTCTAGGAATTAGAAATTTTTTAATAAAACTACATCCTCCTGTTTCTCCAGTGGTATATCTATAATAATAATAACAATACACAAACCCGAAATATCCTCGAAAATTTGAAGGTTTCTGAAAATTCTAGATTTCAAAATTTAAAATTTCCAAGAAACTTTTTAATAAAATTTCACACCCTCCTATTTCTCCCACGGCATTTCTCTAATAATAATAACAATAAACAGGCGCTTGCCCTCGCCAGCAAAAGGGTTAATCAAAGTTTCCAGGTTTAATCAGTACCCAATTGTGTTTCATTTCCGAGCTGAAATATGTCCCCGTCGAAACTTTCTAAATAGAACCCAATAGCTCACTGATCAACTCAGATCCTTCATACTCTAAAACATTTTCCAAGCTTTCCACCCACTCGCTGCCACCGACGCAGCATATGCGCCTTAAACAATATCTCCCAACGTACCACAAATCTTCTCACAACAGCCGACCCTGTTAAATTACTTTCCTGAACACTCCCTAGACCTTTCTTCGCTAAACCTCAACCGTTAAATATCCACAGAATCCAATAATTCTCTCCGTAAAGTCTCGTGCATCTTCTCAACGAGCGGCAGCAATTAATTAACCAATTCTCCACGTTCCTAAACTCTCCCGCAGTATCTTCGTTCCTCCCGTCGTCGATCTTCCCACCTAACCACTGTCTACAAATCGCGGAAACCGAAACGAGCCCCGTCTACGCTCTGTCCAATTTAAGAGTAACCTCGCTTCGCGTATGGGACATGCCTAAGGCAGGGCTAGAACGTCTAAATCCCCGCTTAACCGCCTACGTTTTTCTCCGTCTTACCCCTCCGCTACGCTCTGTCTACGCGAAGAACGGACGAGAATCGGTCCGAGAGCGAGGTTACTCTTATTTCGAACGATGTGTAGAACGTCAAAACCCCCCACTTAACCGCCTACGTTTTTCTCCGTTTTTTACCATCGCTCTCTGTCTAACTGCGGGAACTGCGCAGAACGGACGATAATCGGTCCGAGGGCGAGGTTATTCTTAAATTGGACAGAGTATAGAAAGGCGTTGCACGCAGTTTCTCTCGCTCAACGAAGAGATTCAACCTTGTTCGGTCGTCGGTACGACCGAACAATACATCGTCCTTTTTCTGCAGCAAACGGTACTTGAACAAAGCAGTCTTAGCCTGCGTGACCCATGAATTACTGTGGGATCAGATAGACAAATAGATGTTTAACAACAAAATATAAGAAAAACTATAATAGAATTGACTATGATACACGCCTCTCGACTTTTTCAAACACACTGTCCTTTCATCCCTCGCACGCCGTACTTTATAGCCAGGCCCTTCCTTGGGCCTCTCGTCGCCGCGGTTTTTCCCGTTGGGCCTGGCTATCGTCGCTCGTCGCCCGCTTTCTCTCTCGTGCTCGCCACATTTTCTTAAAACCACGCTTGCTTAAAATTACGATACTACGTTACTTTATTACTCGAAACATCACGAAGACTCGCACACCTGGACACCACATGCGCCAAGACAATAAAACAGACCCTCGACACCAGTAATCCTAGCAATATAACACTTCCACACCATCAGACAGACACCCCTCAAGCATCCCGAAACACCAATCACCACACACTTCCGCCACCTACGACAGCTTCACACCACCAATCCGAAGAACTCATCATCAAACACACCGCGAAGACGCATCAAAAATTATACACCGCGAACACATCGAAATTACAGAATAGTACAATTGTTAATAGTTCGAGAAATATATTGTGATGACTGATCCACCGGCGATCGAGTCCGCACGCGCGAGTGCGTGTGTGGAGCGTACGGGCACGGCGTGTGTGCGTGTGTGAGAATGAGCGAAAAGCGAAGCGTAGAAGGGATACGCGGGCCCCGGGACAAAAAGGCAGTTGGAGGTAGCGCGCCGAGGCTCGAGCTTGCCATGCGACAGTGTGTACTTTTTTCCCTGACGAATTGATCCCACAATATTACGGTTAAACCTAATATTAACATCCCCAACCTAAAAAGCAGCCCTCGCGCCATTAATTTATCGCGAGCGCATCTCGAAACATTCGCGTCCGGTCGAACAAGCATCGCGGCGCGATTTTCAGTGAACAAACCCTGTTCCACAGGATCGCCGTTCCGCGGCCGCATAAACAACGTGATGGCCAGGTTGAACAACGGCGGTTTCTACGGAAAATGGTACCAGAGCCTTTACCAAGCGAAGAAACGAGTGCTTCTACGGGGAACGACGATGCATCGAAAGATCACCATTCAACATTTGTTCATCCCTTTCGCGATACTTTACGTGGGTCTGGCGACCAGTACGATAGCGTTCGCCAGGGAATGCAGGCGGAACAACGTTGGATAATTTAGCAGGATCGGCTGGGGGAAAGATCCAGATTGGAAATGGTACAGAGGAAGAGGAGAAGAGCGAGATAGGTGGGTTTTATACACGAACGTTTCGCTGTAATGAGGCAAATGGAGCGAATGCAACGTGGTGGAAATGTGCAGAAAAGCGAAAAAGTACACGTTGAATCTTTCTTTGCTCGTGTTCTGCTGCAGGTGGGAAATTGTTCTCGTTAACGTGAAATTTTGAATGTTTTTTTTTTTTTTTGGTGGAAATGGTTTTGTTAAATGGGAGATTTCATTGTGGTAATTTGTCGAGTTGGGAATTGATTTTCAAAGGAATCCTCTTAACGACATACTTCCATTCTTTCACGCTGTGTTTAAATGGAAATGGAAAAGTAGAAATGTGAAGAGTAGTTTTTGACAAGTGAAAAATTTCATCGCGATCATTCGTCCAGTTGGAAATTGATTTTTAAAGGAATTTTGTATTGCGTTCTCTGTTCAATTCTGAGAGTTGCATTCGGTAAAATAGCATTTGCAAAAATATGAAAATTCTTCTGCGTTTAAATGGAAAAGTAGAAGTGTGAAGAATATTTTCTGATAAGTGAAAGATTTGGAAATTGACAAATTTCAGAGAAATTCTCAGTTCAATTCTGAGTTGTACTTATTAAAACAGCATAAAAAAAAAAAAATACCTAAATTCTCTTATGTTGGGTTTAACTGAAAATTGAAAAATTGAAATGTAAAGAATTCTGTTTGACAGAAAAGATTGCTTTAATTTCTAGACCTAGAGATCGATGAATGTCAATAAAACCCAAAACAGCAACAATTCTCAGTTTGAAAGAAAGAAATTTTCCAAAATTTTCAAATCCTTTTAAATCTCGTTCGAAACATAAATGTAAATAAAATTAGTAGTAACTTTTTATCCTCAAAGAAACAATAATTATTATTCCAGCGAATTTCCAAAGATCCACGAAAATCCCTCAAAATTTTCTGTCACACTTCACACCAGACTTTATCGAAAGAAATTTCCCACCTTTATCTCCAAGAAAATCGCCCCTCTCCTCGTCAATTTTCGCGATACCAGCCGCTTTCCAGCGTTATTTACCCTCCTCCCCACCCCGTTCACACGATAATAACTTTCTCGACGTTAAACGAACGAGCCTAATTATCCCCCTGTGAAGAGGTGTCCCTTTAAAATCTCGAGGAGCTCCCTTCAGAAAACGGGAAGGGTATTTTCGTGAGAAGGTGGCAGTGTTATCACGATTAGGGTGGTACTTTTCTCCGGCGAAAATCACTCTTAACTACTGTCCCGAGTCCCTCTTTTCACCTTAATTACAGTTTATAATTACTCTCGAGACTCTTGAATTACGCTGATCAACCTGTTATTTCGAAAGGGGTGAGATAAACGAGGCGAGCGGATTAATGGAAACGAGTACAGCGACGACAATGGAGAATTTCATTTCCGATGATTAGGCAAAGATAGAAAATTTCGCGGGAGAGATAAGCCTTTTCGGAGGCTGTGCCACGCGTGTCTGGAATGATTCATACACGTAAAAACCGATATCAACGTTTTTCCTTTGTCGAAAGCATAGGTTCTTAATGTATTCGCGATACCCTTTGATCTAGCGATTTTGATCATTCGACGAAACAGAGTGTAACGGAGTATACTGTTACCGTGTACGCATATATCTGGCATACCCTCGGTTACTGTTTTCTAAGAGTGAGATAAAGGAGGAAGGCGGATCGACGGAAACGAGTATCGGACGAGAATGGAGAATTTAATTTCCGGTGGTTTGCGTCATGGAGAGATTTCGCGGGAATGATAAGCCCTTTGAGAGGCTATGTCACGCGTCTAAATGAATTACAGGCGTAAAAACCGATCGCCGTTTTTCCTCTGTGAAACAGAGACTCTTAATGTATTCAGGATACCCTTTGATGTTGAGATCTTGATCATACGATGAAACAAACCTACGCGATATTGATTTTACGGGTAGAATAAACGAGGCGATTTGATGAATGGAAACAAGTGTGCGGGAAAAATGGGTCATTCGATGAACATTTTAATGAAGATCGAGGGAGATTCTGTAGCGACGGTGTTAATGATCTTACAAAAATAAAAGAGGACAATATTGTGGGATGAGAAGACGTTTCGTTTTTCTTTTCGCAAATTTAAAGGTCCTTTGGAAATATGATCTTACAAAAAAAAAGAGAGAAAAACACTGTGGAACGAAAAGACGTTTCGTTTTTCTTTTCTCAAATTTAAAGGATCTTTGGAAATCTAATGATCTTACAAAAAAAGAGAGAAAAACACTGTGGAACGAGAAGACGTTTCGTTTTTCTTTTCTCAAATTTAAAGGATCTGTGGAAATCTAATGATCTTACAAAAAAAGAAGATAGAGAAAACACTGTGGAAGGAAAAGGCGTTTACGTTTCTTCACTCAAATTTAAAGGTCCTTTGGAAATATGATCTTACAAAAAAAAAAGATAGAGAAAACACTGTGGAAGGAGAAGACGTTTACGTTTCTTTTCTCAAATTTAAAGGATCTTTGGAAATCTAATGATCTTACAAAAAAAGAAGATAGAGAAAACACTGTGGAACGAGAAGACGTTTCGTTTTTCTTTTCTCAAATTTAAAGAATCTTTGGAAGTATTGATCTAAATTCTTAAATTCGATGCAAGCTTATGGTATGATCTACAAATTAATTTCCGCGTGGTTTCAAAGATTCCCCGAAAGATAAACCTTTCGAGAGTCCCTGAAACACGTCTAAATTAATCACACCCGCACCAATCTCCAGTCTCTCCGGTGAAGAATTTACCCTGTTAAAACATCATCAAGTGTCTCTTTCGGAGTACAGATTTTTCCAAATTCCACCGAAACGAGAGAATATCCCCACGTAGCATAGGTACGATACTACAGTTCGTAGTGAGTTTCGCCGTGTATTTCCCTGGATGGTAGGAAAATATAATAAAAGCTGTCGAATATATTTCTCCCGGTGACCCATGTTTGCTGTTGGGCGCAATTTCGACGAGAGCAGACGGGGAAACGTCGAATGGGACGTGTATAGGAACAACGCGGGAGAGACGATCGGAATATCAAACAGGCGGGGGAGGAACACACGCCATCGAGGATGTGTTTTTCGCGAGAGGGAGAGACGAAAGCACGTGGAAATCTATCAGTTCTAGGATCTCGTGCGTTACACATCCTTTGATCCTTTTTCCCGTTCTCGATTCGATCCGTGCCGTAACGACGGCTGTTCTAAAGGAGCGGCTTGGAATTTTCGAATGGTACACACGCAAACGCGGTTTTTTTTTCAGAAATGAAACTTTCATCGAAAACATTTTCGTTTCCCTCGACGTGTAGATTTCAATCGTGACTTTTTCCCTCGCGTTTTCTGTACCACTGACAGCTATTTTCCTTTTTAGAAATGAAAGTTTCATTAAATGAAAAAAGTTAGTCGTTGATTCGGCGTGTTTGTCAAATTTAATGTGACTATTTTTTAACTTAAAACTTGTATAATAGTTTTCGTGCTCGAGGAAATTCTGATATTTCTTTCTGTGAATATTTATTTAACCCTTTTATCTGTGTTACAGGGTATCTAGTTGAATGTATCTAGTTGAAAGTATCTGTTGAAAAATTCTGAGTTTCCTCGTGTTACTTTCAAAATGCAAATAGATTTACTTTAAAAAATGAATTACTTAATATAAATATTAACCCTTTGCACTCGGAGGTGATTTTGCTACAGGGGAGGTTGCAAATTTTTTTGAAACTAACGTAGAAATAAAGTATACTATTTTATTTAAATACTAAACGTATTCTCTATTTCACTATGGTGGACAAATTTATAGAGGCTCACAAATCTGTTCTTGATTAATTACTTTGCTAAGTGACAATTATTTAGTGTCGCTTCTCAGTCGCCACTCGATTGCAAAGGGTTAAAATTGATAATCTAGAAGATGTGTGTAGGTCCATGGTGTTAAGATAACAGAATGAAAATTTAACTTACTTAAATCGAGAAACATAAAAATCCAGGAATTGAAAATTTAAAAGTAGATAAAATTAAAACTGAACCAAACGATCCTAACAAAGTTCAAAATAAACTCGCACAATTCTCATTGAGCTACTATTGCAAAATCAAACCAATCAAGGCAAATCTCTGACACTTAATAAAAATCATAAAGCAATCCTCGCAAGGGACATTAAAATCTTACCATAAATTTGTCTTTCTACCAAATTACTTACTTTAATGCAACAGGTAAAACATGCTAACCGTCGCAATATACACAAATTCTTCCATCTAAAAATATTCTTGTCACAAACAATACTGAATATAATCCTCGACGAGACTATCGAGAAATTAGCAACGCGGCAATAGAAAGATCAGAGAGGAGGTTCGTTCACTGGACGAAGACGATGATAATTTCCACGTCGTCGGCGTGCTCCTCCTCGACATAATGGTTGCATTGCCACGAGCTCGTGAATAATAATTTCACCGTGTTCCACCCCTGATAGAACGCGGTCACGCGGTAATTTCGCGATGCTCAAAGGATTATGTACGTCTAAAATATACGAGGCGACGTTCGGCCCGTCATAACGTCGCGTCGCCTCGCGTCCGTTTCACGCCGCTCCAACCTTCATTTTCCTTTCCCCAAAGCGATATAATTGAGAAACGTGAATATTCCTCTCGGTAGTTCTTCTCCGCCGGATGCTCGTCCGTGCTTATCGTCGCTCGACAATCGCGAACCTGTGAAACGACAAATGTTTCTTCTCGAAAGGTCCGTTTGTGAAAGAATTAGTAATTATGCATTCTTTTCGCTTTTCAGTTGACGTAATTAACCATTCTTTCGTTTGTAAGAGCTGTCTGGTCTAAATAATACTTGTCAGGATTTATTTAAACAGATGTTGAAACTATATTTATTTGTCCGTCCGTCGTTGACGCCTTGTTCCTTTCTGATCCGCCTTTACCAACTACACGTTTCCTAATAATCTTTCTAATATATTCCACTTAGTCTTATTCAACGCGTCCTTATATATGTGCCTTGACGCCCCTCCCTTGCCTCCGGGAAACCCTGGCACAGGTTGGGGATTTTTGCCGCGTCCTCCGGATGGAAATAGGAGGGGACCTCTCCCTGGCAGCAGGGAGGCGATGTTGTCGGGGGAGGAGTCGTGGGAGGCCGCGGAGAGGGCCGCGAGAGGACGGACCCTCTCAGAAGGTTATTGAGGGGCAGAGAGCGAGCCGGCAGCCCGCAGGATTCACTAAGTAGAATTGCCTCCTGAGGGCGGGGACCATCCCCAGGGATCATCCCTGTCCTCCCGAGAGGGTGGGGCTCTCCAGGGCCGTGGGGGGTCCGGGTGGGGACCCGGCCTCCCCAGCATAGCGGTCCCGAGATGGGCGGCACTGGGCGTGGCTCCCTGGCGCTGCAGGGCCTAAGGGCGGAGTTCAATCGGGGAGAGGTGATTGTAATTTATTTGCAGTCGGGACGCAAGCCACGGCGCGGGGGTGTCCCGGTCGTGTTCGCAAGAGATGCCGGAGCTCCCCCAGCGCGCCCGATGAGGGTCACCGTGGAGGTTTTAGTGAATAAGAATCTCACATTACCGCCTCCTCCCCAGGAGGCGGTGCCCTTCAGAAGATGCGTTGCGCGAGCACGAGGCTGGGTCCTTACTTGACCCAGCCCATAGCGCACAGTTTTCGTCGACCAATAGCCGAACACACCACGTTTTCCACCTCCATAACACAACCACCAATCAGAACCAACCTAATGCCTATATATACATCTACACACCTGAAAACCGACAATCACAGCAAAACCAGTGCACGAGACACATCGTCAAAAAAAAGAATAACCGAATTTCAAGTAAACATCTATCAAACATCTACATCAACGAATCAAATAAAAACCATCTAACCCAACAACGAAGTTTCAATACACCTTGAACCAGCGAGAACTATCATCAACCTGCGCCAGAACTCCTGGTCATAAGACTTGATCAAAGTCCACGACGCAACAGTAATTAAAATAAAACGAGTATCGTGGACTAAAATTTTTAACACCGTAGCTAACTAGACATTATTTTGAATTTAAAAAAAATAATAATAAAGCATAATATAATACTACGTGTAGAATAATGAAAATTATCTTCTGGCCCCTTGAGCAAAATATGTAAATCTTGCGTTGCAGTCAAAATGTTAATAATATATATTAACGTATCTGACAGCGATGATAAGTTAGATTTGCCGATACTGTGATTGACATGAATAAATTTACGATCTTTTTTAGCGATGATATCGACGGAAGGGAATTTTTTGAAATGGTGTATAGTATATAATAGGTTTTCAGTATGCAACTGTGTCAGTTTTTGCAAGGTGAATTTTCACAGGAATTTTACACGCGAAAAGGAGAGAAAGAGTCACGGTGAGAAGCGGAAGTGTGGAAAATGAATGCCACGTTCGGGAGTGAGATTTATGCGAATGCGTGAAATTTAGAGCGTTCATTTATAACCCGGTTTGCCGCCGTTTCTGCGAAGTTATTCGGGTAAACCGTGGAAAAACGATACAAAGAGTCTGCGAGAAAGAAATTGATAAATAAAACTGTGAAATCTGGGAAAGAATTATTCGTACAATATCGTTAGAACGGTTGTTCCAGGGTTGGCATTTTCGCAGTTATTCGCATGAACCGTGAAAAGGTCGTGAAAAGAATCTTCGGTATAAAAACTGAGAGAAAAATTAATAAATAAAATTCTGAAATCTGGAGAACAATTATTCCTACAATTTCCTAAAAACAATTCCTCCGAAATTAGCATTTTTGCAAAGTTAGTCGCATAAACCGTGAAGAAATTATGAAAAGAATCTTCGATAAAGAAATTGAGAGAAAAGTTAATAAATAAAATTCTGAAATCTGGAAAACAATGGAAAACAAAGCAGTTACTGCAAAAAAATTGCAAAAGAAATGAACGTGATAAATCTTAGGAAAATAGCACATCTGATATACTCGGAAACAATTTCCTGCAATTTCATAAGTTGCAATTCCTCCAAGATGGAATTCCGACGATTTCGCGAAAATCTCGCGGAACGAATTTATTCCCAGATTCGAATTCACTTGTTTCGCGTGAGAGAATAACGTTGCTACGCTTTTGTAATACCGACAGGTACAACCTAATCGTATTTAACAGAGCATCTGCCTCGAAGAAATGAAGTACGTGTCTTGAATAGGGTAAAATCCCGTGAAGTACGCCTATCGTTCCACTCATTTCCTCCAAGACAGCCGAGCATTTCTAGAGATTTATAAATCAACCGCGAAATTTCACGATATCGAGATCTCCTTTGATATTTACCTTTAATCATCTCGTGTTAATAATATCCGCTGCTATAATCGAATGCTTTTAACCGTGAGAGTTTCGCATTTCCGTACACACACACATTTGCATAATTCGCTTTGTTATTAACGAACTGAGGAATGTCAATAATTAATCACCCTGTTATTCGAATTACTCCATTAAAGCCAATTAAACCGAAAGTTCGTTAAAAACGAGTAAATGATACTTTCTTTCCCTCTTTCGACAAGAATAATACTCTGAATTTTTCATATCTTCTCACCGTGTCGAATCGCACAAAACACGAGTCACCGTGTTAAATAATAAATAAAGCTCGCTCTTCAGACGAGAATGGGAATTCATTCTAGCTGGAATAACAAGTGCACGTTGATTCGTTCGATAAACAGCTGCTCCATTCCCAAATCCCCCCCAAAAAAAGGAAAACTAACAAGATACACCGAAGAAAACAAGCTAAATTCCTGAAGAAATAAACAAATTTCTCCAAAGAAAGAAAAACACCATTCTCTCGTTCTTACCTCTAAAATCGAGGGTCGGAAAATCCAGGCGGCGGAGAATTCGTAAAATCGTTACGACACCATGAAACGCTTTATTCCATCTCCGCGGAAAGTATCCTCTCATTTCTGTTCCGCTTTTTCGACCGCCGGTGAACTCTCCATTCCAATTCCCCACCGTAGAATAAACTCCGAAACGACCTCCTTCTTCCCCTTTCAACGTCTCCTCGCATTCCGTTTCGCCGCGTACACCTCCCAGAAGAAGATCGTCGCCGAGCCGAGCAGACCAAGAAACAACAGTAAAAACGTTAGAGAATAATGCTCGAGCGTCAGCCTGATCCTCCTCTTTTCACTCTCCAATTTCCTCCTGATTCTCCCGATTCTAATCGGATAGACCATGCTCTCCATCCACGAACCCAGCAATCCAGCCTCTCCGAGTCTCAACAGAACGAAATCCACCCTCTCGGCGTACGGCGAATGGAATCTCAACACGTACGAGACTCTGTAGTTCATCGGACACTCGTCCACCAGATACACCAAAGGATTCCCCTCTTTGTCGTAGTAGGAGAACTCTTGCAGCATCATCGTGTAATACCGGGTGATAGAGATCTTCTTCCCGTACGCGACGAAATCCTTGGTAGATCCGCGAGAGTTCATCACGTTGATCCTCTCGTACAGCCTCATGTCCTGCGCGGAATCGTCGAGGAACACGTTCTTCAGGTTCGCGTATCTGGTGACCACGATCTTCCCGGAGTCGAGAACGTCCTCCAGGGTGTGCATCTGGGGATAGTGAAACGGTTTGCTCAGGCTGGAGACTAGGTAACTCTGGTAGAGACCGTTCACTATGAGACCGAAGAAAAGCGTGCCGAAGAGGAGAGCTCTCTGCGTCGACGTCTCTCCGCCTTGGAGAGGGTAACAGAGGTGCTCGACGAAGGTGAACAGCTTCGTCGCGTATCCGGGGATTTCCGGCGGCGCTCGGTTCGGTAAATTGAGCATTCGGGAATCTCTCGAGATGCGAGATTGCTGATCGAGGGCTCGAGGATCTCTCGAGGAACAAGATTGTAAATTGAGCGTTCGAGGATCTCTCGGGAAGTGAGATTCTGTATTCGTTGAACATCTTCTGGAGTGATTAAATTGATAGGCTGCTTCGTTCCTGGAGAATCGAACGATCGGTGTGTTCGATTTGAGGTTAACAGGTGTGTGAAGAGTCTTTTTCTCGAGGGAATTTGTCGGTTTTAGGAGTGTTTCGTTGATGTACTTCACTAGGAACCATAGAAGCGTTATTAGAACGTTGTAGAGCATCAGGAGAGCCCATAGATCCTTTTGGAAGGGCAAGAAAGGCATGTAGGCCTTGGGTACCAGGCCGGAGTCGGGAGAGAGGAAGCAGAGTTTGTCCTCGTAGACTGCACAGGTGAATTGGAATTGGCGGAACTTGGCGTAGACTTTGACGAAGAAACCGGTGACGACCATCTCGACATCTCCTGTTTCTACGCTCTGCAGAGAACTGGCGAAGGGATCTCCCTTGAACTCGATCTTCCTCGTAGCTTTTATGTGGAACTTCGCTCCCATAGCCTTCTCCAGAGTGAACACCACGTTTGCGTCTGGCTTGGCTAGTCTCAATCTACCTTTATCGTAGGAAACGTTCATCAACAGAGACTCGAAGACAATCACGTTCATAGGATAGTCGTTCAAATTTCGAAAATCCTCGAACAACTTCGTACCTCCATGCAACACTTCCTCCTGCAAATCATTCTCCACTGAATTCTCAGAGTTTCTCTGCAAACACAACCTGTGCACACTGCCAAAACCGTTCGCAAACCCCTCGAAAGGCATGTACTTCATCAAGCAACCATAATCATCTTGAACAGAGATGAAGACAATCCTGTAGACCCTGTATTTCTTCCACAAGTTCCCGAAGATCGTTCGCCAAGGTAGGACGACCTGTTCGTTGCTGAAAACGATCAGATATTGGCTCCCGGACTTCCATATCTCCCTCTGCCAGTAGATGAAGATGTTCAGGCTGGAGAGATCGTGGATCACGAAGACCCAAGTGAGTCTGACGCGATTGATCCAAGTGGTCTTCAGGGACAGGTCTCTGGCTCTGACTTTGTAGGCCTCGATCGACCTCTGGCCGATGTACTCGAGGAGAAAATCGACGAGGCTCGATTGAAACTCTGGCAGGATCACGGAGAACGTGAGCGGACGAAACTCCGGGGAATCCCGGATGAAATTTATCATCAGCTTCAGGTTGTCTGCTTGCTGTCGCGATAGAGTGTCCGTATCCTCCACGGACGAGCGGAATTTACTGCGCTCGAACGTGTGTTTCAGCGACACCGAGGATTTTAAGAGGGAAAAAAGGAGGAGGAAGATTGAGTAGGTTGTCGAGGGTGGTGGTAGCATCTCTCTATTTGATCTTCGCTGTTTGGGTTTCTTTAGATTTCCATTAGAGATAGCGGTGATTTGGTGGAACTTTTATCGGTGTTTAAATTGGCAGAAAGTTGCAGCGTTGCTTGGTCGCGGAATATTTAAACGCGTTGCTGTTAAATGTGTTTTGCTGCGATAACTTTGCAAACGTGAACTACGATTGAATCGTAATTTCCGTCTCTTTTCCGGCATCGCGGTATCACGCGGGTCTATTCATTGCTGATTCCAGCGTTCCATCTCGAGGAAGACTTCTTTTGAGTTTGAAAGTGGTTTTCGAGATTCTGTTCTGATTTTGGAAGTCTTCTTTCACTTTTCAAATGGTTTCTTGCTTCTACTCTGATTCTGGAAGCCTTCTTTTGCTCTTGAAAATTGCTTCTTGCTTCTATTCTGACTTTCAAAGTCTTCTTTTGCTCTTAAAAATGGTTTTTCGCTTCCATTCTCATTTTGGAAACCTTCCTTTACTCTCAAAAATGGCTTCTGCTTCTATTCTTATTTTTCAAGCCTTCTTTTTCTCTTAAAAATTTCTCTGAGCTTCTATTCTGATTTTGCAAGACTTCTTTCACTCTTAGAAGTGGCTTCTGTTTCTATTCTCATTTTGGAAGTCTTCTTTTTCTCTTAAAAATTGCTTTTTGCTTCTATTCTGATTTTTGAAGCCTTCTTTTTCTCTTAAAAGTTGCTTTTTGCTTCTATTCTAATCTTGCAAATCTCCTTTTTCTCCCAAAAATGGTCACTTCTCGAACTTTAATCGCCACTCGTCGAAACTTGATAACCGATTGCCCCAAAAACAGACACTTTCACGAGAATTTTCCACACGATTTCACTACCGAGAGGACACGAATGATTTTCTAACACGACTCTGTTGCCTGAACATCACGACTCGTCTAAATACACAAAGAACAGCTCACCAGATGCCTACAAGGATAAGAATCTCGTGAAATTATTGTCCAAGGAGAAGAGGTGTTACCTTCTCACGGTCAGAAGACTTCGACTCATTGTTCGGGTCGATAGTGCTCCACGGAAAAGGAGTTTCCAAGTGGTGAACTGTCGTCAATCATTCTGTTCGACGGGGAAGTAAAGCAATAAAGCATCTGACCACGAGAAACAACTGGTTATTTTTTTACTTTTCCACGAAGCGAGCTAATGACGCGAGAATGTGGCAAACGAGGTGTAATTTGTCGTTGGATTTTTTGTTCACGCGAGTCGTTTCTTAGAAAACGAATGAAAAATATAGTCTTCAACGCTGTGTAGAATACTTCAAAAAAGGAACGGCTACCTCGAACGTTTTTCAAGCTTTCTGAGAAAACAAAGATTGACAAGTGAACGAACAGAAACTGTCTACATTACAATGGGTTAAACGGAAGAATGCTTCCGCGCGTTAAATAAATAAAGAAGGAACTGACCATTCGCGTAAATCGAACACCAATATCAACACGATCTATTTCCTTCTCCCCTCTCGATCAATTTTTTCACACACAATCGCCATTAACTCCTCGTGTAAATAGAGAGAGAGAGAGAGAGAGAGAGAGAGAGAGAGAAAAAATGATCGACGAAATACACGTGGACAGATTGAAAAAGATTGCAAACCAGGGGAAAAATTGCTCGATAGCGAAAACACACGCGCTGTTTCTCTCTCGATTCACCGATTAAACACGCGAAAATAGCGATTTATCTTGTGACGAGAGAGAAGCGAAGAGAAATGACCAGCCGACGGGGTAGAAGAAGAAGAAAAGAAGAAAAACCGGATAATACACGGGGGAACGAAGAACTTGGAAATTAACGAAAATAACGCGAAGTTCGTGAAGCACAGCAGGAAAGTAAGAGTTTCGCGAAGGATCCGACAAACGTGGACCATCTAGCTAGTGAAAGTTTCTGCGAGAAGTTCCTCCCTTCGAAACCAGGACTGTTTGAACCGTGTCAGGTAAGAAACTTCTGTCCGACTAACGCTGCCTCTTACTACTTCAAGTCTCACGGTGGTAACCGTGAAGAAGGGGATTTTTACCGTTGTTTTCTACCGTCGTGTTTACCCCCAAGCAAATCGAGCAAACTATTTGCATCGTAATCGTGGCTACTCCACGTCAAACGTCTGACAGGTCATTAAGGTGAACATTGCTTCGAATGTTTCCACCCTATCAACGCTATTTTTCATCTATTTTCCCCCTAATTTTTCACCCTGTATCCCTCTATTTGCCGTCGAATTCCAGTAATTCTGTATTCCGTTCGCTTCTCCCGCGGAAAATTACCGTTAATCTTTCCCATCATCTTGTTTGCCTCGTTGATTGCATTTCGTGCGAAGCCCAGAGAGTATCTTTCTGTGATTCGGGAATGTTTCCATCCTGTGAACTCTGTCTTCCATATTTTCTTCTATTTTGCTCCATTTTCCTTTACCTTCCTCTATTTTCCTTCATTTTCCTTTACCTTCCTCTATTTTCCTCCATTTTCCTTTACCTTCCTTTATTTTCCCCTATTTTCCTCCATTTTCCTTTACCTTCCTCTATTTTCCCCTATTTTCTTCCATTTTCCTTTACCTTCCTCTATTTTCCCCTATTTTCCTCCATTTTCTTTTACCTTCCTCTATTTTCCCTTATTTTCCTCCATTTTCCTTTACCTTCCTCTATTTTCCCCTATTTTCCTCCATTTTCCTTTACCTTCCTCTATTTTCCTCCATTATTTCTATTTTGCTCCATTTTCCTTTGCTTTCCTTTATTTTTCTCTATTTTCCTTTACTTTCCTCCACTTTCCTCTATTTTCCTCAATTTTTCTCCTAATTTTTCACTGCATATCTCGCTATTTACCGTAAAATTCTCATAATCGTATACTAGATTCGCCTTTCTCTCAGAAAACTATCATTTCCCATGATTTTCTTTGCTTCGTCGATTTCATTTTCCCACGGTATCGAAAGGGGGTGTATTTTTCGCACAATGATCCACGAATATTCGTCCCTTTTGTTTTTTCACGTAGCTCTTATTAGCAAGAGTTAATTAACATCCTTCCACAGAACCATCATGCACGATGCTTTCGTGAATGCGGATTTTAATTAAAGGTTACGATGCATTCTGAGCAGGTAATTAAGTCTAATGCCCCGTTAGACGTCTAATGCACTTTTCGTTGATGTTTCAGTAGAATTTGGCGGGAAGGAAGTCGCTGGATTGCTTGTCGTACACGGTAATTAAGCATCGTGTCGTTCCACGTGAAACATTCATGGTACATAATATTAAAACTAGTAATCACGCTCAATACACGCTGAATTCACTTCGGCATTTCGGAAAATTCGATAAATTACCAATCTCCATAAATAAATTACCTTTACTTCTCCAAGGAAACACCCTTTACCCCATTTTCAAATTTATAATTAACATTTTCATACTGTTAACACGTTCCGTGCAACGAGAGAATTAATACAAGTTGTACCAGAACGTTGAAACGATTGAACTAACAATGCAAATAGTAAAATGAAGTTTTCGGTTTAGTTTCAAGTACTTTAACTTAATAAAACAGCTTAATTTATTAATTTCACGTTGAATTAACTGTTGTGTATAGTAGTTTAGTTAGAAATTATTTATAATTTTTATTGAAAATTGAAAAATTAATGTTCTGGGAAAACCGAAGAAATGCAATTAATAAAACGCCTGAGAAATGATTGACTTACACTACCTCGCCTCGATTCCGAAAAAATTTCGCGCCTCTGAGAAATGGTCGACTTGCACTACTTGCTTCGTTTCCGAATAACTTTCGAGCGTCTGAGTAATGGTCGACTTGCACTACTCGCTCCGCTCCCGAAAACGTTCTACTCTCGAACTCAACAAGTAGTTCGAGTCAACCGTTTCTCAGACGCTCGAAATTTTCCCCCATTCGAATTTGTACGCCCATTTCCCTTCGCGAAACCTCGTCCTTTCAACAATATTCCCTTAGAAAATTGTAGAAACTACGTCCAAATATATCGACACGAACAAAAATCCTCAAATTTGAAAGAAGAACAACTTTCTTCGTTTAACAAAAATTCATCGTTCTCCTTTCGTTGTCTATTCTCTAATCGCGAAGTCCATGGTGTCGCATGTGCTGGCTTAACCACACGCCATCGGCGTTCATGTCAGCGTTAAGTGGCCTCATCAAATTTTCATCGAGTTCGAAGCTTTCTCGATCGCGCTCGTCCGATAAAACCGTACGAAAGTTCACCTGGTGCGTTCGTCCTTCCTCGCACAGACTCTCTCGTAGCGATTCGAATCGAAGAGATACGACCGCGCGATAATCCGTGTGAAATCCCGCGATGAGAATGATCGAGAAGGAAGAGTCGACAAGGCCGGAAGGTAATCAGGCGGTAAGCTTTGATCGAACGCGACGAGGCTGAATGGTCTCGGAAGACGGCTGGCAAATAGCGCTTTCAAGTAAACAAAGTGTGATTGCCTATTTCCGTGCCGTGACACCTCCTCCCCCGGCTATTTGCATTCGAAGGGGAAAGTGCTCAGAGTTATTTGAACCTTGAGGAAAAAAAGAATCGGGGAAAAATGTTTGCGTGAAAATTCGATCGCTTGGGAATAGAGGGTAGTTTTTGATAGTAAATCGTTTGGAAATTGTTGACGAAGTGATCTATGGGATAATTGAGAGGAAATTTGAGTGGGGAGGTGCTTGGAGTAATTTCGGACGATTATGGTGATATTTAAGGTAATTTTGATCAGAAAATTCTGTCGCTATAATTTTGTGGATACGTGAGATTTTGCTAATTTTGCAGAAGCAATTTTTTTTGGAAGTAAAAACGTTCGGAAATTGTTGACTGAGTGATCTATGGGATAATTAAGAGGAAATTTGAGCGTCGAGGT